TCTATTCAACAAAAAGTCAACCTAATATGCTGATGCAGACAGTGAAAGACCAGTAAGATAAGGAAATAAAACTGTTCAGATTATTTCAAGGATAAGGTAAGTTCTATAGTTGATTCTTTTCATGAAAGTATACTAAATAAAATAAAAGAATAAAATTAAAATTTATTAGAGAAATATTTAATTCCACACTTTCTATGTTTCAGGCACTGATATAGATGCTTGAGGACCAGATAACAAAACCGGTGAAACCCTTACCTTCATTGGCCTGAATTCTGGCCAAAGAGACAAAATAAGCAATTGACATAATGATTAAAAAATTATCTTGTGTATTAAAAAATATTAAGAGCCAAATTTAAAAAGGGAAAAAAAACCTGAAACTGAGTAAGAAGGATCAGAATTGCTAGAGGATGGACATGTTGTATTTATTTTATTGATCAGAGGAGGCCTCATTGAGAAGGTGAGGTCAACAGATACCCAGGCAGAGGAAACAGTCGGGGGAAGAACTCCAAGGAATATGCTGGTGTCTTCATGGAACAGAAAAGATGCTAGTGTGACCACAGTAGTCTTAGCAAGAAGGAGAGTGGTGTGAGGAGAGGCCAACAATAGGAACCAGATCGCGCAGGGCCTTGGAAGCCATCAAAAGACACCTGTGTGTTCCTCTGACTGAAGCAGAAACCACCGCAGGATTCGAGCAGTTGAGTACTGTCTTTGGACCTGCAGGTTAAAGAGGACCCGCAGTTCTGCACAACTCAAATGTTCATAGTGCTAGATGCAAACTATACCTAAACAAAACTGGAGGAAGGAAACAATTCATTAACCTGCTGCAATGCAAGAGATCCAGGTTTGATCCCTGGGTCGGGAAGATCCCCTAGAGAAGGAAATGGCAACCCACTCCAGTATTCTTGCCTGGAAAATTCCATGGACAGAGGAGCCTGGAAGGCTAGTCTATAGAGTCAAAAGAAGTCCGACATGACTGAGCATCTACCATTTCACTTCATAATTGATTATTAAATATCTTAAAATTTATCATTCAATATATTGTATAACTTTCATCATGTAAGTCCCAAACTGATTTCTCTTTCTTATACACTCACTTACATTCCATTACTAAGGAAATATAATAATAATTGAGTGTAATTATTCAGATTATGCATCAATAGAGATTTCCAGTTTGAAATATTAAATTGACTCAAACCCATTCCCCCCTTATTAATTTCTGAGACATAATGATACAAATAATTTCCCAGAACTTTTTATTTGAAATAACATATGGATGTTCAGGCTAAGAATTTTGAATAGAGAGGAAACCACAATAATAACTGAAATTTACAACACTGTATTTACTAAGGTTTTCAAAGCCTTCCAGTTATTATGTATTAACTCTCTACTATAGGCCAGTCACTGCTAAATCCTTTGCATATATCATTGTACTTAATATTTATCAAAAACCCTAAGAATAGTCACTGTAATCCCATTTTATAGACAACAGATGTGTCCCCAGAGAGATGAAGTACTGAACTGATGAAGTACAGGACTGCTCAGTACCCGAGTTCAGAATTTACCTAAAACCTCCACAGTTTAAAGTTATGTTCTCTTCACCAAACTACACCACCTTCCTGCAGCATGATGCTCAACATATATCCTCGACATTCCCAACCCAAAGGTCAGCCAGATGTGAGTAATCCCATTTTACAGATGATTAACTGGTCACAGAAAAGTTAATCAAGCAATCAACATTTATTTTATGGCTACCATATGCAAGTCAATATTTAGTTCCTGAGAGTGCAGAGGATTTATGATACAATATCTTGCCTCAATAAGTTTACAATCTTGTTAAGGTAACAAGAGACACATAAAAAGATAATAAATAATCCAAGATAGCACATAATAAGTACCAAATGAGATACAGAGCCAACGACTGCTAAAGAAATTCAGCAGAGAGAAAATTGAATCTGGGTGTTTCAATTCAATCAAGAGTGCTACTAAAAAGGACCCATGTTGAGGTGGTCATCACAGGAAAAGTTTAGTTCAGCAGAAAGGATGAGGAATTATTCCCCAGAAAGAGTTAATATGATCAAACGCCAAGGGTGTGTTAGTCTCTCAGTCATGTCCAACTCTCTGCAACCCCGTGGACTGTAGCCTGCCAGGTTCCTCTGTCCATGAAATTCTCCAGGCAAGAATATTGGAGTGGGTTGCCATTTCCTTTTCCAGGGGATCTTCTCGACCCAAGGATGGAACTCAGGTGTCCTGCATTGCAGGTAGATGCTTTACCTTCTGAGCCACTAGGGAAGCCAGCCAAGGGAGAAGATGTGAATGGATTATCAAAAGAAAATGGATAGATGTGTTTGAAGTGCAGGATGCATGAGTGGCAAAGTAAAAATGAAGCCAGAGAAGTAAACTGTAAAAGTTTTGGTTGTCAAAGTAGGAACCTATGGAAGGAGCAAAGGAATTGGTTGTGTTTAAATGCCAGTACCTGGCATTTGCTTTGGTATACACTTTTATTTATGTAATCCTTTCAACAAACCTATAATATAGAAGGTAAATATATCCTGTCATTGTAAACAGAAGGAAACAGATTACCTGGACAAGGATGGTTTTGAGTGTGAAAATGGAGCAGGACTTCTAATCTAGATCAATGTGCATGCAAGGACTATACTACTTCCACTTCCCCTTCATCATTGACTACAGAAAGCAATGGGGAGCTTTAAAAGGCATTTGATCAAGACAAGAGGGGTCTCCCTGGTTGCTTAGCTGGTAAAGAGTCTGCCTGCAATGCAGGTGACCCCAGTTCAGTTCCTGGGTTGGGAAGATCCCCTGAAGAAGGGATAGGCTACCCACTCCAGGATTCTTGGGCTTCCCCAGTAGGTAGCTCAGACAGGTAAAGAATCCTCCTGCAACACAGGAGACCTGGGTTCAATCCCTGGGTTGGGAAGATCCCCTGGAGGAGGGTATAGCAACTCACTCCAGTCTTCTTGCCTGAGAACCCCCACGGACAGAGGAGCCTGGAGGGCTATAGTCCATGGGGTTGCAAAGAGCTGGGCATGGCTCAGTGACTAAGTAGGCAAGGGGAGAGGGTAATATATGAAAAGTATTGACTAACAGAAGACTATTGTGACTGTGAAATATTAGCACAAGTCCAATGTCAGAGAAGGACTCGGGAAGGAAGTCACCAGGCAAGAAGCTGGAAAGCCACTTATCTACTGCATTAACCTACAGAATGAGCGACAAGGATTTATATTCAAATGCTGCTAATGGAAGTAAAAAGAATGGAAGAGGTATTTAAAAAGAAATATGAAGAGATAAATGGCAATACCCATGTCCTTTAACAGATATTTTTTATGTTCCTCCCAGACAAAATCCAAGATCTAGCTCAAATATTTTAAGTTTTTTTGACAGCACATGATTTATTTAAAAATAATAAAATCTATACATTGGAAAAACTATCTGCCTTAGTGCACTCTCCCTCTCAAACCACCATCATGAACTGTGGCAGCCTCATGCTAGGCACACTTCTATTGTATGAGTTTGGTATTAGCTCCTTGCTATATATTAACATGGACAGGAATGCCTTATATTCACGGTCATTAAGTGTGTTAATTACTAAGGAAATACTTTTTTCTATTAGTTTTTACTTTTAATAGACAGTGTATATTAAGTAATCGAATTCTCTCCGAGAGATAGAACACACCATAATTCTGAGGTTATTCCTTCCCAGTACTTCCCTCTTAAAATGCAAAGTACCACTCAGGATTCAAGTTCAAAACTAGTAGCAATTAAATGGCATATTACTTAAAACAAGTTGAATCTTTTCCAACTATTCTGACTCCTGGGCAATGAAAATCATACAATTGCCAAATATGTATAGAATTAACCATCTTTTATATTTTTCAAAGACAATATTGACATGGACATCCAGGTATTTAGTCACTACACATCTTTTTTTTTTTTTCACTACACATCTTTTGAAGCAATTTAAAAAGGCAAAGTTGCCAACCAGGTAATAATCAGGCTAACTACATAAATCTTTGTCAGTACCAAGCATTCAGCTAATTTGTCTTAATTCTGAATTAGTTATTAAGCTGAATATCCTAATCAGTATAACATACATTTGATAAGTGTGTGCATTCATATATCTGCACATATGTGCGTGTGTACACATGTACATATATGTACATATACATATATATATTTTATTAGAACTGATGAGTAACAGTATTTTTACCCAGAATTCTTTTAGGAATTACACATCTACCCTATTTACACCTAATATCCTTAGTATCACCCAACTATGCTAAAGGATAATTAAAAGTTAACATATTAGCCAAGCTTAATTTCCTTTACCTGTATGTAAAAAATAAAATAGATTTGTTTTTCTGAATTGAGAAAGAACACTTAAATTTGATTTCAAACTGTGCCACAGGCCAATAACTTAGGTCTACAGCTAAAGTAGATACAAAATATCTTTGAAAGTTTCAAGAATGCTAAACTGAAGCTATACCTTAGAAAAGTCACCTGCATGTGTAAAGAAATATCATCACAGAATCCTAATAAGTAAATTTGCTAAAATTCAACCCAGACCCTCCTTTACATTTTTGTGTTTCTCATTTCTACACATCTATACCAATGTGAAAACAGGCATCTGCAAAATTCAGTGAAGGAAATGAAAGACACTGAGCAAGCGCATCTATCCAGTAATGCCACACTTTCATATGCTCTAAGTTTGAAAACCTTAGCTGTTATCAATAAACTAACTTAAAAACTACTCATGCACAAAGTCTGGGTTCTATATGACTTCAGGTATTCTGTAAAAGCTATGTTAAATACATTTTGTCAGTATAAAAGGAATCAGAGATAATATTATTTCATATACCTTATTTTCTATTATCTGTGTTTTTTAATACGTGGCAGTGGCATTCATGTATAAATGTATTAAAATATAAATATTACCTTTAACTTTAAAGGCATTACTTTGTGTTTAAGAAAAGGAAAACTATTTTTACCTCCCAGTCCTGGTCTAAGCCGATTATCGTAACCATCCAGAAGTCTGTCTAGAATTCTTGTAAAGATGGTAATGTTATTTTTAGCCTCATCTTCTTGGATGTTAGCCAGCACCAACCTAAACAGATAATTTTACAAGCTGATATATATACATATGTGTGTTTTGCAAATGCCAACATGCTCTTCTTCCTTGATTTGAATTTTAAGGCTCCTTAAACTGTTAGTGCCACCCATTTTCTCCTTTTTTTTTTCAGTTCTATAAATACCAGTGCGTCAATGAGGAAGGTAAACAGTCTGTTGTAAATGGGTAATAAACACTAGATTATCAGAAGTGTGAAATCAAAATTATTTCAGACTCCTACCACTCAGCATACTGGGTGAACTATTCATTTCTTTCTAAAATCCATTCCCTAGGTACATTAGGACTGGAGATGATCACATGCAGACAGTACTAGCAATGCTATTCTGCATTTAGAAAGGTACAAAAAACCCAAAGAGATTCCTGAAATAACTCTTCAGGGATCTGAATATTAATTGGAAAATAAATCGCCTCCTTGGAGGCACAAAATTTCTCTATCTTCCTCAGAAATGTCTTTTCCTTTTATGTCTTTTTCTCTTTTAAAGCAAGATGATTTTCTAAGTTTGGGTATACCTCCACCCAATGGCCAAGTGCAATATAGACATCAGGGAAACTCCACTGGCTGTGCTCCAGGCTCCAGTGTAGCCAGGAGGTGGAGGTGGGCTCTGAAAGGATCAGCAGAGCACAGGAGAGCTGCAGACAGCCCTGGAGGAGTTCCCCTCCACCTGGCTGGCCTCTGTGGAGAGCAAGGAACAGAGGTCATCCAGGATTAACATGCCCAGCTACTTCGTGTACGTGTGTGTGCGTGTGCGTGTGTGTGCGCGCGTGTGTGTGTGTGACATAAATTTGCAGAAAGAATAAATGGTCTTAAAATATCACCGGAAGAGGGTTAGAAGCAGTGATTTTCTCCATTATTTCTCCAACAGAAAGCCAGAGACCTGATTTTGTGACATCCAGCGATTTGGTGCAGTAGCAACTGGATGTATAAAACAGAATGTCCCTTTTCACTGCCATTTTTTTTCCCCCAGAATGATTCAGAGATTTAAATTACTGGTCCAAAAAAAGAATCATTTATATAATAGAATAAAATACTGGCATGAGCATTACTGGTCAAATATAGAACAGAAAATTAGTAGAAGAAAAATATGGCCAAGTTCTTAGGATTTTCAATGATTATTAACTGACCACGGTTTGTTCACTCCTTTAAAATCAAAGAATATATGTAATTGCATTCTGATCAAGGTGTATTGTCCAAAATATCATTGACAGAATTCATTTGCATTTAAATGATTGTACAGCTAGTAGCTAAAAATAGCCTAAATACATGAACAAATTGGTAACCAACTTCAAGCAAATATTGTCTTCAGAGAAAATGTTAAAATTGTGGTATAAAGAAACATTTTTAAATTATGTAAGCAAATGATTTCATACGTTGAGCCACAAAAGTTTCTACATTGTCTTAAGCTAATTTTAAAACTAGTCACTAAGATAATCATAAAGTTCCACTTAGAGATTTTCACTGGAATGTGTTTTTTAATTAATGTCACAGTTTCTTTCTAAAGTCAATATCAAGATATTAAATGAGGAGCTATTTTACAAATAAAAATACAACTTCATAAAGAAATTTCTTCTCAAGTCTAGAAAATATTTTCATTCTTTAATAATTACTGAGACAGGAAAATTAAAATTTAAAAGGGAAATAAAAGTATTATAAAATCATAAATACTAATTTTTAAAATAACAGTTACATGGACATTCATAAGAATCTTAAAATTTATTAAGTACTCTGGTATGTTGAAAACCATATCCTAAATTTAGGCAATAAATAGAAAATGCCCATTGATGATAAAAATCAGAAAAGACTGTAATTAAGATGAAGTTGTTGAAAACAACAGAAATTAAAATTTATATTTGTAGAATATAGGTAAAACAGAATTTGTTACATTTTCAAAGTAGTACTGTTTATGGTAGAACCATCTCAGGAATAAAAGACTTCTAAATCAGTAACAGAAAAGTTATTAATAAATCAAGGTTTTGTTTTATTGTTCATGATTGTGAAGTTGTATACTGCCTCCACCTAGAGGTTTCAGATTCACACATCACTTAGGTTTTCTATGTTGACTAAAAGATCCAAGACCATTTTAGCAAAAAAGGAAAACAGAGAGAGAAAAAGATTAAGTTGCCACAAATCATTTAGCTTGTGCTTTTCTGTTTGGCTTAAGGAAAACTGATGGCCTCTTTGTTGATTCGTGGTGTTATTACTATCACATATAACAATCACTTCAATTATTTGCAAAAATACGCCATCTAAAGAGTATTCTTTTTTCCTGTGATTTTTTTTAAAGAAAAGGTTGTGTTCACTTTTGTATTTTATCGCTGCAAACAAGAAGCAGCAAACTTCTAACAGACTTTGCCACTTTACAGCTCTGTTTCCTGCTACTACCTTTTTCCATTAGAAATGGTCCTTCAAAATACTTCAGCCCCTCAAAAGCCACCTCTATCTGCACTGATGGCATTCAGGAAACACACCTTTACCCTGAATTTAAAATGGCAAAACACTAAAAAACTGTCTCACCTGGCTGGGTCCCACGCCAAGAAAACAAAAAGCAGCAACTGCATATTGGAGCTGCTCGGTTTCGTCTTCATCTCCACTCTTTGTATAATCATGGAAGAAAAACAAAATATACACTTAAAATTACATTCAGTCATACCATTCAAATAGCCCAAAAGAATGTCATTTCATCTGGCAACGGGAGTTAAAGCAATAGAGATGATTCCAGCGGAGTGTGTATGGGTTGTGATGATGATTGAAGTCGTGTCCCCCCCACCCCACCCCCCCCTTTTTTTTTTCTCTTCACAGAAAGATGACCAAATAATCAGACTTTGCTCTGCCAGGAACTTCCCCCAGCCCCATCGTCAGCAAACGCTGTTTTGTGGTCACACACGTAAAAAGAACACGCGGGACCCTGCTCTGACATGCGAGCTAGAGAAAAGAATGGGCTGGAGAGGAGAGCGTAAGGCGGAGGAGAGACGGGTACTTCCTGCCACGACCCCCAGCCAAGACCACCCCCGCACTCACCACCAGAAAAGCAAGGGGCAGCCAGCCCACTTTCCTCGATTATTATTTTTTCATCACAGCGAACTGCAGTTCTCACGACTTCAGTCCTTGGCTCACTTTCAAATAAAAAATCGAATAAAAACACCTCCCTCCCTGCCCATCCACAGTTGCCCAAGACCACATCTTGGAGGCAGCCGGGTTCGGATTAACTGCTGCGAAACGACGCGTGTGACAGCTGCTCCGGAGCCGAGGACCACAATCCGAGCCGGAGCGTGAGGCTCCGAGATGCCACCGAGGCAGGCGGGCAGCGGCGACCGCGGTGTGCAAAGTTGAAGACTATAACGGAGCCAGGCTAACGAGCCGGGCGGCTCGGATCTTAGGAGAGTTGCAAATGGGCTTCTCGCGAGCAGTATCGACATTATGTTTTAAATATGCTGGGGCGGAGGGGGCGACCTGAACCCTTCGGTTTCCAGGGCACACCGGGGAGTGGAGGGAGGGGAGATGAGCCAGGCACGGGAAGCCAAAGGTAGACGGGGAAGCACAGCTCCCTACTGGGACCCGCGTGTGCGACCTTACCTGAAACGGCAGGCAGAACTGCTGTTTTCCGCCCTTCGCCCTGATCTTGAGGAGAGGAAACTTGAGCGGGAGACCGACTGCAGCAACCCGGCGAGCCCGAAGCGAGGGGCTGGCGGAGGCAGGAGAGCGCGAGGCGCGGCGGCGGCGGCGCGAGGAGTAGAAAGAGGCGAAGGCGTCCGTAGTGGCGGTGCTGGGCGGAGGAGCAGGGAGAGGAGGAGGGGGAAGCGTTGGCAGGGGCGGGCGGGGTAGGGGCGGACGCCGGGCGCGGCGCGGTGCGCGCAGGCAGCGGCGGGCGCGAGCCCCACGCCTAGAGGAGGAGCCAGGCCCCGGAGGAGGGCTAACGGGTTTCCCGGGAGATCAGGGACCCCCGCCCGGCCCTGCCCTCCCCCAGACACCGGGGAGCCGCCGCCGCCCGCCGGGCACCTGCCGCGGCACAGCCCCAGGCGGCGGCGGGCGCCCGGTGCGCCCGGGTGCGCCCGCGGCACCGCTCCCCGCGCCCACGCCGCGCCGGCGGGGCCGAGTCCGCGCGCCGCCCGGCGCTGCGCCCCGCGGCCGCCCTCCGGGGCTGCCCGGAGGCCCCCAGGCTCCAGCGGGGGCTGCCGGCGCGCGCTGTTGCGGCATCAGGGTCGCCGTGTGTCTGGGCTGGCCCTCGATCCCCGGGGCCTCGCCCGGCCGCCCGCCCCACAGCGCGCCCTGGCTCCGGAGCGACGTGTCTGCCTAGGAGAGGTCGGGCTCCCACTGGAGGGCGAGGGGACTCTGCCCGCCTGGACTGGGCCAGCGGCGCATCCACGCCGGACCGAGTTCAAGGCAGCTTGCGTGGCATCAGACAGCAGGAAGTTTCTTTCATTTCCCGAGCCCTCTTGATGTACCACTCGTTCCTTCACGCTCCTGCCGTCAGGACCAATTTCCCTTCAAATCTCTGAGGGCTGGAGACTTCCCTGGAGCTGGTCTGTCAAGTCCATTTACACGTTATTGAGAAACTGCTCAAGATCAGCGGTTCTTTTCCCCCAACGTCTTCTCACAAACGTCCTCCCCACCTGGTGATCAAGCTCCATCAACTCTGAGAGAAGTTTACGTCCTTCCCACCCCACCCGCCTCAACCCCCAGCAAAAAAAAAAGAGGAGGGGACCTGCGACCTGCTGTGGTTTTACTGCTTCTGGCAATTCTTTCTGCAGTGGGGGAAAGGGGACGGGTTTTAAGGCTTTTACACCCTTTAAGGGTGCTTGCTGGCGAGAGCCCTGCTGTAATTTCAGTCCCAACGTATGCTTTCAGAATTGTGTGAGCCTCATTTCTTTCTACCTTACAGTATCTGGGGCGATCAAATTCAAAGGTGCAACTTGAGCAACGAAAGAGACATGTTCCTCTTTGTACTGCACACAGACAGAATATTATACACACCGCACTAAGGCAAAGCACAGAGGGTGTTCGTCTTTTCGTGAAGTTTTTATAAACGTTAGACATTTTAAAAGGAAAAAAATAAATATGTTGATATGTTTCTGTCCTTTTGCATTCAGAGTCCGTACATGCCAAACACTTGAATAGTTAGTTATGAACCCAAAATTCAGGTGGATTTCCTAGATGGTGCAGTTTTCCTAACAACAGGCACTTCTACAGTAAATTTTAGCTTTGCTTTGAAGATTATGTGAGGAGAGTAAAACCTTTACATTGTAAATATTTCAAGCTGTTCTTTTTAACCTATTAATCACCTCTTTCTGAATGACCATTTAATAAGCTGCAGCCTAAACAAACATTTGCTCTAGTTAGCTGCCTCTGTGAAGAATGGAACACCACCCAGCTTTCTCCTCCATCATTAATATTCCCTTCCTGACTTGCTCATTGTAGAGTCTAATTGAAATTCACAAAGATAAAAAGCATGCCATTTAAAACCTTGCAACTAGGGAATCTAAACATCTACTTGGTCTGAACACTTCATTTCTTACTGTATTTTCCTATTTTTCATTTCTATGAGTCATTCTTCATTAATATCTATCACTTTTCCATTAATATTACTACTAAATTGTTTATATTTTAATAATGGAAGTTGAACAGCCCATGGTTTCTTTCCAACTTTAATTGCTGCACTACAAAATTTCTCTTTCATGGACACACAATTTTTGTAAATATGTTCATAAGTTATTTTCCTACTTACCACTATAGTCTTTTCCTTGGATGCTAATGGTGAATTATGTATTTTAACTTTGTTTAACTCAAAATTTGTGTTGATTGAAATTTGTTCTAAAAAATAACCTTTACCATTGGTATCCTTAGTAAATTTGTAATCTCATTGCCATAAATACCCATTTATGTGGAAGTTCACAGAGTTCAAGCTGTTTAGGATGATTTTCACCATTTGCTTAAAAAAAAAAAAACACTGTATGCTAGATCAGTCAATAGAATTGGATTTACACTTAACTTGAGAGAGACTCAGGAAAAGCTAGATTCAAAAAATTCATTATAAAATCATGATTTTTAGTTCTTCCCCACAAAATGCTTTGCAATTTTATTGAAGCCGAATAGCTATGATTTAAACTTCTAAGCACATTAAAGGAACTGAAAATCAGAAAAGCTGATTGCAAGCAGCAGACCTCTACTTTTATTGTTACATACACATTCATATTTCACGGTGTTAGTAGTTCAGCCAAATTTCTTCTAGGATTGTCCAGCTTCCACAAATATCTGACAGACCCAGCCTGATAGCTTTCTTTCCTCTCCGTGATGGAGTGAAGCACATTGCCCATGATTCAAGAGGCAGCCTGGGTAGGTCATGACTAAGCTCTTCCTGCCCACTTGTTGTGGAGCAGGTCCTAAGGCAAGCAGCCCTGCAGAAGTTTCAACTAATTGGTAGCCAGTAAATCCATCCCTGCCCAGGCCAAGGCTGTGCCAGACCTTCTGTTTGAACGTGTTTGAATTACTCTCCCACTAATTGGATTGAGGGGGTCACTTCTTATAGAGTTACCATCCCTAAGAATCCAATCCCTAAGGAGAGTTCCACAGAAAAAAGAAAATGAATAATTGGGAGACCATGGTGTCTGAATTTGTTTCCTGATATCTCACAATATTGTACAGTTTTAAAATTCATTTAAAATTTAAAATTCACAAAACTGTTCATGTTTTTTAGCAGATATTTTGTAGAGCTTCCTTTTTTAGGACTCAGCTATATTGAGATTTGGCACTACTGCTCCAGGGAACTACTACTCCATAATCTATATATAGGGGACATCATGAATATTTAGATTCTATACCATAATGTGTGTGTGTATATATATATATGTGTGTGTGTATATATAATACATGTGCATATATATGATACATACATATGTGCTTACAAATATACAGATATCCATCTGTAGAAAGATAGATGCCTGAATTAATAAGATAAGCATAAGGATTTTAATGAGAATAGCATTTATATAGTACATTCCCACAAAATGCTTTCAGTCTCACGACCGCGTGATTTGATCTTAGTGATTTTTGCGTACTTTGAAGAGAAGTGTGAGAAGTGCTTCAACAAGAACAGCATTTCGCCATATTTACAAATTTTAAAACATCAGCATGTATTTCATATGATAAATTTACATACATTTTACATTCTTATGTGAGTCATCCAGTCAAACAAGAATATGTGTTTGTGAAAGATATGAACTAAAGCATCGATTATCCTGTTTTCACAGGATAATCATAGAATTAAATACTATTCTGTACTTTTTCCCCAGAATACTTTACTATTGATTTCAGAGTGTGCTGTCTGTTCTCACATGTTCACCACATTATCATTCAAAAAAAAAAAAAACTGATTCAAATACCCATTTGGTAATTCTCAAGTGAAAATTATGGCTTGGTCAAGCTCCATTTTCCCTGTAAGTTGAATTTATATAGATGGTTCTAACATGTCCACTAGACTCCAAGAATTTTCAAGAAGAGACAGCCGGAAAGTGGGAGTAACTAGCCTTCTAAACAAATAATTCCAAGACTACTCTGTTACATTAATGTATCTAGGTCACATTTCATTAGA